TAAACTGTTAGAGCGATTAGTAGTGCCGCGTTTGCTACCGGGTGGTCCAATTTTTCACGAGCAGCAGTTTGGCTTCACCGCCGGGAAGTCTACTGCAGATGCAGTAATATCTGTTAGACAAAAAGTGACGTCCTCGGTGGCAAAGTACGTTGTAGGAATATTCCTCGATATTTCAGGTGCCTTCGACAATGCTTGGTGGCCGATCCTGCTCTTAAAACTGAAAGTTCGTGGATGCTATAGTAATATATATTCACTACTGCACTCGTACTTTTGTAACGGTACAACTAAATTAAAACTCGGCCATCATGCTGAATCAAAGGTGCTCACGCGCGGCTGTCCCCAAGGATCGGTCCTAGGGCCCTACCTTTGGAATTTGGGTTTCGATGATTTTCTAGCATTACCATTACCCGAAGGCTGTTCGTTAACCGGGTACGCTGATGACGGTCTCCTTTTAATAGAGGCTGACACTAGATCAAAGCTTGAAAATCTAGCGGATACATGCTTGAATTTAATATCTCAATGGGGAGACAGGAATCGTTTGCAGTTTGCCCCTCACAAAACTTATCAGCTTCTATTAAAAGGTAATCTTAAAGTTTTGCCTCGCATTAAATTCAATGAAATAACTGTTAAAAAACGGGAATCTGTTTGCTATCTCGGACTAATTTTAGAGAAAAACTTTAGTTTTGTCGAGCACATTAAACAGATCGGTGAAAAAGCTAAAAAGAACTTTTATGCCTTAAGTCACATTTCAACCTCGACGTGGGGTCTAACGTTTAAAATCCTCCGAGTAATATATTCGGCCACTTATTTAAGCTCCATTTGCTATGGTGCACCAGTTTGGGCTGACAGAGCTACTATAGGAGCCGCTCGACGGAAACTACTCCAAAGTCAACGCCTTGCATTGATTTTTCTTTGCAAAGCTTACAGAACTGTGAGCACGGAGGCTCTGCCAGTCCTGGCTGGTGTACTGCCGGTCGACTTAGAGGTACAAAAGCGTGCGGCTATGTACTTCGCATCAAGGGAAAATATAACCTCCGATTTCTTAAATAGCCGCGATCGTTCTAAAATAAGTCGATTATTTGATTCCCGAGAAGTCGTTGAAGAAGATTTACTTAATGAATGGCAAAAAAGATGGGATACGTCAGTCAAAGGACGTCACTTATATAAATTCTTCCCGAATGTACGCGAACGTCTAACTAGGCGATGGTTAGAAATCGACCATTGCTCGTCGCAGTTCCTCACGGGACATGGCAACTTTAAACATAAACTTCACGAATTCAAACTAGTTCCGTCTCCTTTTTGCGAGTGTTCCACTGATGATGTCAGTCATGAGCAGTCTGCCCATCATATCTTGTGGGAGTGTGATCTTTGGAAACATGAACGTGATATAATGCTTAATTCAATACAACATACATCTGTTTCCGCAATTTATTACACCGATCTTGTCGCGACAAGGAAAAATTTCCGTGCTTTTAAGCGATTTTGTGAAAAATATTATTGGCAGGTAGTTGCTAATTACTCATAAGATAGGCCCCCTTAATTTAATTTATTGTCCGTGGTGCATAATCTTTTTCTTAAAGGTTTTTAAACCTTTGTTTGTCACCTGTCATCCGCTTTGCAATGGAGGGAAGTCGAACCTAAATTTCGAACTCCCTCCTATGTTCTTCTGATTAATTTCGTTGCGGGTCCAATGACAGTTTAACTTTCCCCCGGGACAAACTTGACCTTCATTGGTTGGGTTTTTGTGGCGGTCAAGCTGTAGATCCTGGCTACACAGGAGTTGCAGTGGTGGGAACGAGAGGTGGGAATAGTCCCGTAACAGAGAGGAATAGAAATTCGAATTTTGTTGAAGGGTGTAACTCTACAGCACGGTAAGCAAAAACCAATTGCACGGTAGACAAAAACCAAATGCACGGTAGAAAAAAAACAATTGAAGTTAATGCTTCTGACGAAATAAATACCGATCAATGTTGACATCTCAATAGCTGACCCTGCAATAAACTTCGTACAACCCAGTTAGGTCCTTTTCACACATCCCGGTTGCCGGCTAACCGGCGCCGGGTATCCGGTGGTGAAGTGTATGGGCATGGTACGTAGCTTTCACATGTTCCGGCGTAATTAATCCGCCATGCCCACACACTTCATCACCGGGTACCCGGCGCCGGATAGCCGGCAACCGTTCAATAAGAGGTACGTAAATTGCGGAAAATGGAAAGAAAATACCGAATTTACTTTAACATTTTCTTCATTTTATTTCTAATGATATTATATTTTGGGGGCGAAACAAATCAGCGATAAAAAAATCGGTTCAACTGTTATCGAGTTATATTAATATGGTGTAAAATACGACATTGTTTTATAGATTTCAGTAAAAATGACAAAATATTATTTTCCAAATATCTGCCGATGTTAGCATTGTTATTCATAATTTATGCTAACTCTCAGCGTATTTTACCGATTGTTTTGCAGTTGTTAAAAAATATCACGTGAAATGACGTTGAAAGAGACCCCGCCCACCTTTTTACCTTTAATGTACTTATGCAAAGATTTTGTAATGTTTTATTTACGAGATTGGCTTGTATTTTATTGCGATGTTTGCCTTGCACGACCACAGCAGTCATTTAATAGCTTGAAATGTATTCATTAATCATGCGAATCTACATGTTTTCTTCGGTCATACAATTTTGTTAATGGCTAAGAAATTTTAATTCTCATACCTTTCTATTTTCACAACTCAAATGGGTTCATTCCAGTTTCCAGTGTGTCTTCAGTTCTTACTTTAATATAGTGTAATCTAGAAATATAATCACTCGTTATAGTGAAAGCGATTTAAAAACTTCATTGGTCCCGTACTAAAGAGTTCACGGTCAAGAGATAGAGTCAACCTTCAGGGACAAAAGAGAGCAACGTGTGCTCGGGGCTACGCTTCTATACAATTTGACAGAGTTTTTCAGACATACTGGTAGAGTCTTTCGCAACTTTAACGGACTACGAGTACCTATAATGTAGTAGAGAACCTCAATTCTTAATGTAGAGATCTTGAAATTCAATTAGCATCGCCTTGCGATCCATATTAAGCTGTGTAATTATGTGGCGGCCAAACCACTAGACACCTTTACATGACTCTTAAGTTCATTAACCACTGATAAAAAACATTTTAATAGCTGATAGAACCCCTACTACTCTTATGAGGAATTTCCACACAAACGTCTGCCTAACTTTGAAGCAAATTTCCAAAAACTCAACAAATGACATCATCATCATCATTATTTCAGCCATAGGACGTCCACTGCTGAACATAGGCCTCCCCCAATGCTTTCCATGTTGATCGAGTGGTAGCGGCCTGCGTCCAACGCTTCCCTGCTACCTTTATGATGGACCGACAAAGGACATAATCGAAAAGCCGAATATCTTCTGCTTATATTTGATAAATCGTATACAAATTCATAGTCCAAATAGCGCGATAAACGCGTGCATAACAAGTGCCACGCGCCGGTCAAGCGGCCCGATACAAATTGAAGTAATTGTTCCTGAGCACGACCGGTTCCTACGAGAGCCCAACCTTGAATATGATCGTACAAAATATTATGTATAAGGTGAGGTTATTAGGTATCTCCCATATAAGGTACTGTGTGCAGTGCAAATTCAATAGATTTTCATATGGACAACTCTACATTGAAGAGATGATGATGTTCTTGTATATAAGAGATGCCGCTTTAATAGAAAATCTTTTCAAAAGGTGATTCAAGAGCACGAAAAGTAACTGGTCGTTAATTAGTTATCTAACAGAATAGACCTTGTAAGGTAAAGCTAATAATAATCCGGATAAACTCAAATCTAGAAGTAAAGCCGCTTTGACTAAGCAAATTACATCTACCATAACACCTAATCCCAATACACACATAGTTACTTGGCACGTAGCGCGTAGTATCAAATCCACACTACGTTGATCTTAAGGTTATTTAAGCCATCAACATTCTTTTGTTACGTATTCAAACCTAGCACAAAAACAAACTAATAACTCAATAGATATATCCCTAAGAAATAGCACCCTAGTGTGTAGAATGACTAATTTTATAGACAAAACACGTGAGTGCGCACGTGAACAGTCATTTGTTCCCTTTATCTATTGTGTTGTGAGTACAACTAAACGTTTCCGTGGCACAATGCATTAATAATTAATATGCATCTAGCCGTTTAAGTGTAACATGACACTTACATCGCGAGCGTGATCGGCGTAAGAAACTTCAACAAAACGTAGAGTAAAAAGTATCCAGGTTTTTGCTCCCATCTCTCCCGAGCGACCTTTAGAACCGGTTTGTCGGACGATGATACCTTTCACTGAAGCATATTATCTCAAAAAGCGATGAGGAAAAAGTTACGAAATTGACCGATCGAATGCTTACAGTAGCCGGGACGTGTATCGATGATATTGATTGATGAATCGTAATTGGTCGTGCCAAATGGCTATACTTCTGCTAGAGTCACACCACGAATTTTGGCGCCCAACATAGATGCCGAGCGACAACAACACATGCGTGGAAGGAATTATTTATTAATTATTCTCATAATCTTATCGTAAAGTGTGAGTTGCTGATAAAGACAAGCTGGGGACGACGTTTAATAGAGCGTCCGACCTTTTCAACTGAATAAAGTTAGCGATGTAGGTGAACACCACTAACTAGAACCGGAACGTGATAAAAATAATGACTGATTGACATCTCAGCATTATGTAGGATTTATTTTCTTGGCATCTATAAGACGCGTTTATTTTTTCGTCTACTTTAAAGAATTTGTTTGTCAATCTATTCGTTTTTGCTGGATGATCCGAGTTAGATATCATCTAAATACGTTTTGCCAAATTTTCTGATTGACCTTCAAAGAAAGATAGGCGCATATTTTTTTTTCTTTCAGTTATTTTCAGCAAAAGAACTAGGAAAGAGTCGGTCTAAAGTGCCTTGTTTTAATAGATTTATCGTTATAATTCTGAAGCTCCTTACCTTTCCTCCTTCCAAATGGTCCGCAAAACGAGTTTCCTTTGCCAATAATACTGTCATCGATGTACTTGATAAGTTTGCCTACATCTTCCATCCCTCGGGAGTCATTCCCCCATCTCGAAGGCAGGTCCTCTTGCATGGATTCTGATTTACCTTTTGTGCCTTTAGACTTTTTTAGAACACTGGTCATAATCGTCACATTACACAATAAACACTTAACTCTCACACTGTTTTGTTTACGTTGTGGAGCACTGTGCGGTCAACGTTTTTGTATACGCGTGGAGCGGTCGTCGCGAAATCGGGCAGCGTGACTAACTTAGTCGAACACTCGGCGTGTACTAACTAAATACGTTCGGCGGAGTGCCTCGCTTCCATGGCTACACCATACGCATCGAGCCGCAGTTTCGGTGTTGCTACACTGGAAAATTGATTTTCTACCGCGGAGAAAAGTACCTATCTACCAGAGAGTTTTGAGCAACATTTACTTAAACGCTACGCTCATTATTTGAGGATTGCATTTTTGCTCAAGATTTGAATTTAGAGTGAGATATTACGTACGAGCATAGAATTAATAACGAGGCCTGATGTTTTTTATAAACATTGAATTGTAGAGCAAAAATTAAGCCTCGTCTTTTTTTTAATACATGTAGGTACATGAACTTGTTGTAACTAAGTTTTGTTTTATGTACCTACATATGTATACATGAACTTGTTGTAACTAAGTTTTGTTTTATGTAGGTACTCAGAAACAACAAGATTCTAAAAGATTTGTTTGTTCTTTTAAACTGTAAAACCTATTGTGTCATTGGGCACCTTTGTATTCTTACACTACCCACTGTGCAAAGTTCCATAAACTTAATAATTTGGTACACAAACTTTTTACTGTCGTTTTCGTTTTCTTCAACCACTGTCCACTGCGACTCTACATTTAAAAACATAATTGCCATGGCAACGTATTTTTTGCTTGATCGTTTGCGCACGGGACGTTTCGAGTCAAATTCAAACTATAGTTTTTTTTACTTCAAGCGATCACAACAAGTTATTTTGAGACGAATCTCAAACAAAGGCTAAAGCAATATGCTGAAGCTACAAATTGCAAATGAGAGAGATAGAAAGGAGGCCCAAAATAGGGAGCGAAGGAGACAATGTGAGTTGGAGAGAAGATCCAGGATTTTCAATGCTCGGAACAGGAAGATTGGTGTAAGATTTGTTTTAACTTCGTAGCTATAGAAAATACGCTTGTCCTCTACAAGTCTTTAAATACAAGTTCTAGCGGGATAATGTTTTCAGTGCTAAAATACTGGTTTGATTCTCAGTTTGGGACATTCTATTAGGATTTCTCAAAGTATTGCTACAACTACTAAATCGATCAACTTACAACACAATGCAATAAAGATGTAAATTAGATTTAGTTAATCCTATTTCCTTTGGTGTGGCTGAGGAGATACTTGGATGACTTGGATCTACTCGTATCTTCCATCAAAATACTTTTTTATATTTTGAAATATTTGAATACTTAGGACTGTGTATGGTATTTAATAGGCCAGCTTGTGATACCCTGCCTGGTTTTGTGACAGTCAAGCCTGGGAGGAATATTCAGCCTTTTGAGAGAGGAAATAAAACAAGTCTTTAAATGTTTTCGTCTGGACCTAACAAATTGTTTTGCCCCTAGGTCGACCTCCCGTTCCTGGAGCGTCAAGTGGTGGAAAAACGAGCTGAGCGGGATGAGCAGAAACGAAGGGACCTTGCTTTCGCTCAGCAGATGATCAAAGACAGTAATGTGGCCGTGGTGCTTGAAGCGAGGGAGAAAGAGGTACGTCATTACGTCATTGTGTCTCAAACATTACTATGAGGTCTCACAGTGCGTTAGTTTGTGACTGAGGGAGAAGGACAAAGACATGTTAGCTACACTGATACACTCATCAATAATTCAAACGAATCGATCAGTCAGCATGAAATATCGTGGTTGGCTGACCTGCACACCGATATTCGTGAAATGTTAAAAATGCTTACCTACCATAATACTTACTAATGTAATGGTAATACGACAGGTAAAGTAAACAATTCATTGTTGTAATAAACTTTATTTACTAAGGTTATATGTAGGTATACATACATACAAATCGAATTACAATAACCACAATGTCTTTGACTTGGGAGATACTACAATCACGAAAAAATAAAAAACAAGTTTCATTTATAAAAAATAAAGGCTTGAACTTCAGGAACCCTCGAAACCTGACCTGCTGTCTTACGTTCGCTTCGCAACCGTATCTTATACACTAGGTAATAATGTATTCCTTAAAACTCAGTCTTTTGTATAACGTTGCTAATTTGTGGCATCGTTGATTCGTTTTCAATGCAGCGTAACTCAGCGTTACCAACCAACGTCCCAATTTGCATTCTCAACTGTGCCTGTTCGTACCTCGATAGTTTCTTCACAATCTTTGCCATAGAGCTGAAAAATAGGTCATTCTCATCTGGTTCATTACTATTTGTAATTCGTATTTGCTGCATTCCATCTACAATTTTCCGTTTTCTGTGATTTGGGATGTAATCGTTATTACCATCATCGCCGTAATTGCTATCTTGGTTGTCCTGGTACTCGGGCGCATCATAGTTTTCCTCGTTTTGGGATGGTGTCCCTTCACTATTATCCATGTTGTCGATACTCTCACTCCCGTCTACTATGTTCCCGTCGGAGCCATTCATAGAGCTGTACCTTGGGTGGAATTTGTCCAAGAAGTGTAGGAGTTCAAACCTCCTTTTAGCGGTTTCTCCACAAGTGCCAGGTCTGGATTTACGCCTGATATAGTAGTCTCGTACATAACACCATCTTTTGGAGCAATCGACATCTGTAAAGAGATATTGGACTTTTAAAGTCATACTATGTTCTAGTCAGTTAAATTTATTTACATCTTTAACTACGGAGTTCGGTGTTATTGTTATTCGGCAATTTCTTGACCGACACTGACTATAGTTAAAGCATTTGCAGTTTGAGAAACACTCAAACAAATACGGATAATTAATTATGTAAATTATCTATTAGATCGATAGCAATAGGTAGTAAGCCTAGAAAAGTAGTGAAAACACCAAAATTAACTTATTCACTTGGTAATGGTGAATGGGATTTAACAAAAAGTATCACTTACCAGTTTTATTCGGAAACTTTTCAGCGATTTCACACCACAAGTTTTGTTTCACATGCGGTTTTCTGTAATCTGCGCATTTTGTATTGTACAATGCTTCGTTCACTTTCACAAAATCAATCAAAATCTCGTCCTCTTGCGCACTCCAATGGACGGAATTCATATTTCACTGGATATTCTTTGACTATTTTTAGCTAAAAATGTAATGTTTCTCTCCGTAAACACGACCGTCGGCAAAATGGCGGCACCGCAAACTGGCGCGTCATGACGTTACGGGGGCAACAACGCTCGCTTGGCAACCGCGTTCATTGAGAACGGGTTTCCTTGACGCCGTGACGTCATACCACGCGAGTAATGCGACCGCTATGCGGGCCGGGCGCCATCCGTCGCGCCCCTGCAATGGCGCTTTTAACGTTCAATGCTTTTATGAAATGGGACTGACTGCTCTTTTGACAGTTTACTATAATTTATTTAATGAGCTATAATAACTGTTCATATTATTATCGTTATGAGATGATGTGGGTCTTGTACAAAATAAAATATTTTTTCCTTATTTCTTTCTAAATCCTGCCTAGTAGTCCACTGCTAAAACTGTTTTATGCAGTTTATGGCTGAACATACCGGACAAGTAGGTATAGGATCGAAATAGTGACACGAGGCCTTGCATTTGTTGCATAGCAATGTTGTCGCCCTATGTATAGTAGCCACATATTGCAGAAAATTAACCCCCGTTAATAAGACTCTTAAAAAACTTTTCAATTAAAAGAGCAGTAAGGCAGTTTGTAGAAGATGCCTGCCCACCAGTTTTCTCTTACTTTAGTAGAGAGTAGAGACTGGCTAATCTCTATTAACATTAATACTTCTGAAGCTCTCTGTCATGGGTAAATCAGGAAGTCGGTCACCAGTGTTCCAAACAAATTTAGACTTTGTTAGATGCAATTTATAACTTACCGATCCTAATTTGTTCCTAGGAACGTCGCCGCATAAACATGGAGATAGACGCATTCCGCTCCAAGTACCAGCGGCCCGAAGACCGGCGGGAGTACGACCTGAACGACCCAGATGTTCTGAAGAAGCAGCTGCCGCCACGAGCCTCGGACGGCGAGCCCGTCGGCATGTCCAGTGCGCAGAAGTAAGCAGTTTATTATGATGATTTCTTTTTTTTTTATGCTAGACAAGGCAGGTATTTGACCGCAATCGCACCTGGTGTTAAGTGAGATGCAGTCTAGGATGGTACATATCTGCCCTGTAAGTGCCTATTCACTCTCGCCTTGAAAACGCCCGAATTATAGTGTTCAGTAAATACAGCAGCAGGCAGCGAATTCCAGTCCCTAGCTGTTCGCATTATAAAGGAGTCGTCGAAACGCTTAGTGCGAGCTGGTGGAATGTCGACAATGTAGGGATGGTACGCTAGCCTGCGTCTGGTTCCCCGGTGATGGAAAGGGGCTGGTGGAATTAAGTTATATAATTCCTTCGCACATTCTCCGATGATCTCTTCCTATGATTGTTAGGGACTGCAAAGGTTTGAGGAAGCTATAGACAACGGGCTAATACTACGAGGTACTACTAATAGAGCAAGAGTTGATATGAGCGACCCAGACCCGAGTCTCGGACGGAGAGCCTGTCGGCATATCCAGTGCGCAGAAGTAAGCAGTTTATTATGATGATTTCTTCCTATGATTGATAGGGACTGCAAAAGTTTGAGGAAGCTATAAGTAGACAACGGGCTAATACTACGAGGTACTAATAGAGCAAGAGTTGATATGAACGACCCAGTTGTCCTGAAGAAGCTGCTGCCGCCACGAGTCTCGGACGGCGAGCCTGCCGGCATGTCCAGTGCGCAGAAGTAAGCAGTTTATTATGATGATTTCTTCCTATGATTGATAGAGAGTGAAAAGGTTTGAGGAAGCTATAGACAACGGGCTAATACTACGAGGTAGGTACTAAGTAATGGAGCAAGAGTTGATATGAGCGAGAACGACTCAAACCAGAGAGTCTCGGACGGAGAGCCCGTCGGCATATCCAGTGCGCAGAAGTAAGTCATTTGTCATGATGGTAATAGGGACTGCTGGGTAAGGAAGCAATAGACAACAGGATAATAGGTACTAGCAGGTACTAATAGGGAAGGATTTGATATAAACAACCCAGATGTTCTGAAAAAGCAGCAGCCGCCGCGAGCCTCGGACGGCGAGCCGTCCAGTGCGCAGAAGTAAGCAGTTTATTATGATGATTTCTGGTTCCCCAGTGATGAAAGGGGGCTGGTATTAATAACATTATGATATGAATAGACAATTTGACACCATTCCCCAATAATTCGATTTTTGGTCGCATGTAGTTTAAAAAAGTAGTTTAACTGAGTTGACAAAATAGTGACGTCACTTGCTTGTAGTGCCATACAAAATCTATGGGAGTGTCGATTTGACAGTTTTAAAAAGTTTTAAAAAGTACGTCAATTGATTGGTGGTCAACACGTCTATTTCCCAGGTTCGAAGGCGAAGACCTAGACTACGAAGAGCGCAAGAAGATCATGGCAGCTCAGAAGAACGCGTGGCTCGAGCAGCAGGTGCAAGAGAGAAAGTCTGCCCAAGAGGAGAGAAAGGCCGCCGAGGCTGCTTACATGGTAAATAAACATCTTAGTCAATTCCAGTACCTACTTGTAATCATCATACTACACATTTTTATTGCAAAATAGCACCTACTAAAACTAACATAAGATGCCACCTCTCGTCTCCACCGCTGCAACTCCTGTGTAGCCAGGATCTACAACTTGACCGCCATAAAAACCCAACCAATGAAGGTCAAGTTTGTCCCGGGAGAAAGTTAAACTGTCATTGAACCCGCAACGAAATTAATCAGAAGAACGTTAAGCAGCTAAAATTTCGAAAATGGTTGTTACACAGTTAATATTTTGTCCGATAGATGGCGATAAAAGCGAGAGACGCACGCGCAGGTGAGCTGGACAAGTTGGAGCGCGAGTGCCGCTACAGGCTCGGCCAAGCCAACCTGCGGTACAACGAAGCTTTGGTAAGAAGCTTTAAAAAGCTCTTTTAGACTTCCCAATATAGGTACGTATTTAAATCCTACCACTACTCGTACGTTGGGACTAACCCAACTTATTTTCCAATTGCTATGATAATAAAATAAGAAACAAGTTTCCGAAACAGTTATCTAAATTCAAAGTCCGCAGCACGCAGTGATCTATCAAAAGAATTTATTTGTTGTAGAATCCAAATCATTATGTAATAACGTGACTTTGATGTTCACTTGTATACCTATTTGATAGCATTCTCGTTACACTTTAATGCAGCTAAAGAAAAAACTAGCCAGTTTTCATACCATCATCTATCTACCGCTTTCATTTTCACAATTCCCAGGCTTCCGAAAAGAAACAACTGGAGCAGATAATGAAGGAGCAAGAGGAGGCGGACAACACCGCCGAGATGTACAACAATCTGACCTCAGACATGCTCACTGAGAACCCTGATGTCGCCAAGAGCGCCCTTGGCAAGGACAGGTACTATATTATTACCAAGTTTTATCATAGATGGTTTTTGGTACCTATGTATAAAAAAATACTCGCGGGAGGTGCCTGGATGCAGGCGGCGTGGGACACCGGTCCTAAGAAATCCTTGGGGGGTCTTTGTCCAGCTGTGGACGTCATTTGGCTTAAACGAACGAAAAAAATGTAGTAACTGGCGATTCAGAATGCTGAATTTAATTTTGTTTTGTCCCCAGAGCCATCGGCTTTATGTACAAAGGCATGAACCAAGAAGAGCTGAAGAAATTTTACGCAGCACAGAAAGAACAAATGGCTGCTGCCAAGGTAATTTTAGGCGAAATTCTCCAATGTTTGTTAATGGACAAAATCACAACAAACTACTCTTGGGAATTTTCAAAATTAAACCTTATTATCAGTCTCAAGTATCACTTAAGATAGGATTTTCTCTCGAGAAAGATTAATTTCAAACCTACTTACCTACCTAGAGTAGAGAGACATCTTATTTAATTGTTTAGATATCCAGTGCCGGATTAGCCACGTAGCAAGAGTAGCAAATGCTACGGGCCCCGCGAATTTGGGGGCCCCGCGCTCCAACGCCTGTCTGACCGAAATAAAAAAATATTAATTTAGATAGGAGCCTGTTTCATCTGTGGATAGGAGCGTAAAATATCTTGCAGAACGTGTTGCGTGCTTGCGCTTCGGGGTAGTGACGAAATTGTTGGTTCACCTCACAATGGAAATTATTAGGCTTTCTAGAATTAATAGCCCAATTTGACGCTTTTATGGCTCAACATATACAAAATTATGCTAATAAAGAAAAGGGACGTACTATCGGCAACAGTGTTAACTGCCCATTGCCAGTCATTTCATCTCGTTCTATCGCAAAGAATCACCATTTGATTAGAGCGAGAGCAAAAACGGACATGGATAGTTAACAGTGTGGCCGTGTGTACGTCATATTTATCAAAAACAAGCTGTGAGGACTTAATTCATCTAATTGCATCAAGCCTATTGGATCAAATTATTTGTTAAATTAAGAGATGCAAATACTACTCAGTTTCATTGGATTCTACTCCAGATATATCGCATGTAGACCAGCTGACTCTGATAGTGCGCTATGTTCTGTTCTGCCATCTGGACCAGTAGAATTTGTTAAGTTCTTGGACATGGAAGGTCATACTGCTGAACAACTCGTGGGATAATGCCAGTAACATGAGTGGGAAATACATTGGCTTACAAGCCCGAAGGAAATAAATAAGTACGCCGAATATATTCCCTGTCTTGCACACTCATTAAATTTGGTTGCTAAGTAGGTACCTACGCTGCAGACTGCTGTACAGAAGCATTACTTTTCTTCGATTTCATTGAAAACCGCTATAATATACATTTTTTTCCGCGTCTACCTATCGATGGGGTCGTCTTACGAACGCACTTAAAGATTCTACCTCAAAAATTCCGATTTTAAAACGGTTATCGTACACTAGGTGGTCAGCCCGAGCTGATGCTACGAAAGCACTTTTATGTGGTTTTGTCACTATTAAGCAAGTTTTGGAAGACATTTTTAGTAACGTGGATCAAAAACCGGAGTGCCGTTTTATTTAATACCCTAAACTTGACAACCTAAAGCAAACCAAGGGCCCCTTGATAGAAATTTGCTACAGGCCCCGCGCTGGCTTAATCCGGCACTGTAGATATCTACTTTACGACTTACTTATCAAAATTTTGTCAACAATGGAAACTATAATATTTAAAGAGGCTCTTCTGATGTCTCGATTGTCTCATTGATAAGATTACAATTAAGTAGGTACTAATTAGCTATCGCAGTCTCACTTAATTAGCTATCGTCTAGTCTAGGCAATAAGGGAGTCTATAAATAGATAAACATTGGCACGTGCAAAGTATTAGGTTTTCCATATTTTAGCAATAAATGGAACTATCCGAAAGCTATTAAGACTTTAGAAATGCCAATTTGCTGTGTTTAATGCCCACTACACCCCCAAAACACACGATGAAACAATTCCTATGTGATGAAACTGGAGTCCTAGATTCCTAATGACTCTACATAGTTTGAAACTTTACCCCGGGTGTCGTAAGAGGCGACTTAAGGACTACACATCAAACAGAAAACGGGCAATTCTAGTTACCTACTCTCAAATCACACACGATGCTAGTTTCCTCAGTTGTGCTTAGGTAAACTTAAATTCAGTAAGCTGCAGTTCCATCGTCCGTTTTAGAAGTTTGAAAGCTTTCCATATAATATGAAGCTTTTAAGTTCATCAAGACAAAAGTTGACAGAACCAAACATTACTCCAGGCTAAACGCGAGGCGCAAGAGAAAATGGAGGCGGAGTGGCAGGCGCTGGCCAAGTCCATCCAGAGGGAGGTGGCGCGCCTGGACATCGAGGACCAGCGGAAGAGGAGGTAAGCGAAACACTACTATGATATATCAATGGGAAGACAATATTAATCCTAGTTCTAGAACTAGTCCAGTCAGCAGCGGATGTCTAGCTGGTGTTACGCTGATGGAGTGGTTTTGGTAATCCGCTTAAAATGGCATTCGAATCCGAATTTGAATGGAACCTTATTGAATTTCGTGACGAAAGGCGAGTGGGACAGTCTGCGTCAAACCCGATGAGCCTGTTGGGGCTACAAAGAGTTGGCATGACCTGCCATAAACCATAGGTAAAGACAAACTATGAGAGGTGGCAGGACTAGGAAGTTTAAGCCAAATGCTTCTTTTGCTTCTTGTAAATTAGTGAAGGTTGCTATTCTGCAGTACAGACGAAATACACGACTTGAAGTTGATGATGAGGGCTACACAATTCTTTTTATTTTTCCTACTGAGTATGACCTAAAAGTTTCAACCATTCTACAACAAATTATTTATGTCTTGCCCCTACAGAGACATAGCCCGCCAACTGCTGGAAGAGAACCAACTGCTAGCTCTCCAGCAGAAGGAGAAAGAGAAATACTACCGTGAGGTGGTGAACAACAACACGCCGACCGACGATTACTACTCACAGTTCAACACCACCACCAGATAAGGTGATGAGGGAGGTGCTACGAATATCGTGGACATAACTTTCGCCCGTATTCACAAACATTACTATGAGGACTCACAGTGCGCGTGCACGCACAAGGTGACACGCGAACCAATTACAGAGCTCTATTCAACGCTGTGCGTTCGATTTGCTGCTTCACTTATGCAAGCATCGTTTGTGAATACGGGCGTTTGTGACGATGCACTAGGGATATCGGATCTTTGCCTCTCTGGTAAATAAGAGAGGGTCGTGCTCCTGCAGTGGAGACTAAATGACCTGATGATAAGATAATAATGATGAGTCTGCAGACATAGTATTGGCATCGGCGATTTAGCTTTTTTTAAAGCTCGGCCAAAGTTGGGTTGCGATCACTGCGAATCGATTAACAACTTCAAGTGTTTTACTCATTTGTGACTATAGTAGAAGTAGTACCAATCTTTTCTTTTTAACCGACTTCAATAGAAGGAGGTTCTCAGAATGTTTACTGTTTCATTCAGCACTAAGTTCCTAACGGGAATATACAAGCCCGTATTTTGAAACGATGCTAAAAGATGAGATCGATGTTAAATATTGAAGATCAACCAATCACAGGCTTGAATCTAAACTTAAGTTTTAATCGAGTTTTAAGTGTCTTTTCAGAGTAAAAAGCGCACATTCACAGAAGAGAAAAGAGCGTCGCGGTAATGGGTCACTTTTAAACCATGTTCGCAAATGAAAATGAAAAATTAACGGTCTTTATTTAGCCGATTATGTCTGACTTGACCATCATAAGTGCATCGAAGTTGTGTCCACGGTATGCAAAATATTTTATTAACTATTTAATTTATTCTTTAGATCTCTTTTATTGTTATTAGTTCTTTACATCAGACTGCTTAGATTAATTACAATGCTACTTATTTCAATTCCCATTTTAGTGTGTATGGCAGTAAAAAATAATGACAACGTTTATAAAAGTCATAAAATAAAAACTGCCAACATCTTATTTTCTCACAAAAGTTGCTCTTACATGCTAAAATTAGAATATTTTCTGATAAAGGGACCAAGGCACCTGTAATAAGTATTTTTTTACTTGCATGTAAAGTGTGGTGTGCATTGTACAAAGAAAATAAAACAAAGTGCTGTTTTGTTTGAAACTGTTTGGCTTTAGTTGTGTGAACGCTATTTGCTGAATAAATCTATGTTAAATTATTATCTTACTTTTATTTTCAATTCTACACTTACCGCATCATCAATAGGGTTCTATAATTTTTTTTTTAAACTCGTCACGATGANTCGTAAAGTCGTAACATGCCGGTGTTGTCAAAGGCACACGGCGAGCCGGTGTCGGTGGTTCCCAGCCACGCCAATTTGGACCCTGGCGTCAGCGGCACAGGGACCGTTTTACTTCGCACGTGTCTGCCTGCGAATCAACAAAGAAAGACGTAGATACAGTAAGAACCACTACAAACCCTTCCTATAAGTTAAGGTTGACTTTATTACCAAACAGTGACAAAAGATTGAGTAGCAAATAGACGATTGCGATAACATATTTTCGAAGATAATTTCCTCTTAGCAACCAACAGGTTTCCCCACTCCACTACTTTAAATGTCAGCCATTCAGCATTACACACGATTTTATTTTTCTGTTTCTAATACAGACCTTCACACTAACTGATTTAGCTTATCATAACTTCTCTATTTGAAATGCCACATTTTAAAGCTATTCTAAATGGACCATAATTGCATCAGCTGATAAAAGTATACGTGTAATACCCAGTGCACATAATATTTACTTTATGGATGTGTTTGTTTACATTCCATCATCTCAAATCCCTAGATTGTAGTGTTTACTTTAGGTATTTCAACGGAGCTAATGAACGTGTTGTATATCGCAATACATAAACAATATTCGTTTGATTACCCTCTAAATAATATGGCAGATATAAAGTTTATCAAAGAAAGGTTATCAAGATGTCTTAATAATGTAAAAATAAACTGTTTTTGAATAATGCAGAGATAATGTAACTGTACCACACTGGTTTTATATCACAAGTTTGATAACTGCTGGGAGATATGATAATATTAAGGTTTCTGTTATTTACCGTTCATCGCTATGATGTCCATAGCGAGGTGCTGGTCGGAAACCCCGGGTTCTGTGCTGTGGTATACGGCCAGAACTGTTGTGTTGTACCCAGCAAGGGCGACTACTGGGCCCGCCAGGGAAATTACCTGAAATTAATGTTCCATTCAATAAAATAAATGATGATGGCTGTAGGGGCAAGGCTGACTTCTTGTAAAGCCCGGTCCGTGAACACGTAGAATTTTGTCCAATGACCCCTAGCTACCCATCCTTATCTCACATATAATTATATTGCTGTCGCGACTGTGCGACTGGCACCCGTAGTGAGTGTGCGAGCGAGATAGCAACATAATTACGCGCGAGCGATAAGGATGGATAGCTAGGGGTCATTGGACAAAATTCTACGTGCTCACGGACCAGACTATAGACGGAAGAGGTATTGTGGGCTGGCCTTTCACAAGGTGGACTGACGATCTGGTGAAGGTCGGGAAGTACCTGGATCCTGGCAGCGCAGGACCGGTCGTTGTGTAAGCCCTTTGTCCAGCATTGAACGTCAAATACTTGAGGGAGGCCTTTGTCCAGCAGTGGTCGTCATTTGGCTGAAACGAACGAACTAACCTGTCGCTGCGTGCCCATAGGCGTGAATAACCTCAGTAGGCGCGCGGTGGTGGCGCACGCGACCACGCCACCGGCGGCACACACACACAGCGCTTCTTCTGTGTCCGGGAGAGATACGCTCCACTCCTTGCTGCTGCCTACCAGCGATATGCAGACCAGCTTGCTACAAGAGAGTTGAAAACATTTTTTTTATTGCTACAGACATTATAATATGTTCATAGTTCTGTATCAGTGATGTAGCATGCCTTCGAAGGGCCCAGTATCAAAATTTGCTTGGGGCCTCATCTAAAAATGATAATTATTATTATCAATGAGACGCTTTTCACTAAAACGGTAAATGCAAAATTGTAGAACTTTCCTAGACCGTTGCCTGGCTAAAGGTCATAGCAGACTTATCAACTCAGAAAGGGAACAACACCGTATCGCCTTTCGCGCGCTGTCAATCGCGAGGCGAGGCGTTTACGTTACGGTGCGGATAAGCGTGCGTTTCATACAAAGAATACAGACCGCCTCGGGTTGATATGGTTACGTCCCGTTTCCGTGTTGATAAATGTGCGACGTGGTATNTAGATAAAGGAAAAATTACGAAAACCATAGTTACATTACAAAATATATATTTTTTAATAAATATAAACTTATTACTTTTTTCCTCATGAACGCGTAGAGCTATCAAGTTGAAATTCATATCAAATACTTAGATCTAATTGCCTTTAACCCGTGAAAACCAAACCAAACCTTGAACCAGATTTCTAAATAGTGACTAAAAAACTTAGTAAATAAATAACTTTAAGGCTTGGTATTTCTGCTAAAGTAGGTATTTCGCGCTGTCAAAATCTGCGCGCGCAATACTTCGCCGAAGACAGCGCGCCAAAGAGCTCTCGCGGCTACACAGTATAGAAATACGCAGTTTAGAAATACGCAGTTGGTTAGGTTAGGTTGACTTCCTTCCGTTAAAGCGTCACACTCACAGCACTTTCTAATACAAATCATATCCAAGTGATACAAAGGACATCTCCCCCAAGGATTTCCACAACAACCGGTCCTGCGCCGCCCGCATCCAGGCACCTCCTACAACCTTCACCAGATCGTCGGTCGACCTAGTGGAGGTCTGCAGCACATTACGTCTTCCAGCTCGTGGTCGCCACTCAAGAATTTTTCTGCCCCAGCGGCCATCAGCTTTGCAAGCTACGAGCTCCACTCACTGCCACTTGATTTTAGCGATTCTGCGGACTATGTCAGTCACTTTGGTTCTCCTGCGGATCTGCTCATTTCTGGTTCAATCACGAAGGGAAACTACGAGCATAGCAAGCTCCATCGCATTTGACCTTGAGCCTTCTTATGAGGCCCACAGTAAGCGACCACATCTCAGATCCATAAGTTATCAAAGACTTGTAGCTTTAGACACTGCGATATTTCAGACGTGAGAATATCACGAAGCTTCCCGAACGCTGCCAGCCGATTTGGATTCGACGATTGACCTCTTCCTCGAAGTTAGACCTACCTAACTGGACTGTTTTGTTTGTACTAGGTTTCAATATTTGTCGACAACTGCCGAGTGTAGAGTATCCAATCTTTAGAGGAGCGTGTGCAACACGGACATTTGGCATGACTTTGTCTTGTCCATGTTCATTTTACGAGGGGTTCGTTGAGAGGCTCGACTAAGGCCATTAGGAATAGTGCCTAGATCTTCCACAGTCTCAGCCATGACTATTATATCGTCCGCGAATCGAAGGTGGGTAATTTACTCGCTATTGATATTTATGCCGAATCCGCTCCAGTCCAGAAGCAGATCTCCAGGTGGTGGTGAACAGTTTCGAAGTTTTCAGTTCCCCCTATCTTACCCTTCGCTGCAACTAGATAGGTTGTATTGAGTATTGAGGTTTCAAATCTTAATCCTGGAGACGTTTGACTGGCGTTTTCGTACAATCCTTTCAACACTTCGATGTATCGATATAGTCAATTTGACACCGTTGGACAGAATGTAGTAGGTACTGCCCAGGTCTCGATCGAAGAAAAGGCTTTCTCATAGTCACAAACGCCAGACAAAGTGACTAATTATACTCCTCGGTCTTCTGTATAATCTGCCGTAGCATATGTATGGGGTCTATGGTACTAAAGCTTTTGGAAACCGGCTTGTTCGAGAGGCTGGAAGTAGTCGAGCATAGGAGCGAGACGATTTATAATGACTCTCGAAAACAACTTGTAGACATGGCTCAGTAGTGAGATGGGTCTATAATTCTTCAACAAGGTTTGGTCGCCTTTTTTGAAGAAGAGTATCACCACACTTCTGTGCCATGCCGTAGGCGTTTTTCCTTCGAGGATGACGGAATTGAACAGCTTCTGAAGAAGCCCCTCCGTCAAAAAGCCAACTGCGTAAAAATGAACAGAAAAAATATAGAAACAAGTGTTGTTAGTGTTCATAAATGTAGTGGAAGTGGGAGGCATTAAATACATATCACCATCAATAGAAGTCATTGATAAATTCTTGTATACATATTAACGTAATGGCCTAATTGTGATAAATCAAAAAGTTTCAAATGAAGTAAGGTTCAATGTTAAAACCAAAAGTTTAGGGTAAGGGCTGAATTGTATTATTAAAACAAATTTACGTCCTTTAAATCAATTGTTTCCCCAAAAGTCGTATTCAGACGACTAAAAATGTGTAAGGTAAGGGACATTTTTTTAAAGATATTAACATTTCAAGTATACCAATCGATAGAGCCGAAAATTCTGAATGCGTTGGTATATATAACTCATTTTGGCCAAAATGTCCCTTACATTAATTGATACTTCCACCATCGATATTATATTATATATTATATTATTTATTTGTGTCAGTGTGCTCTTCTAAAGAGTGTAAGACGATTGTATGTAGGTACTATTAAAATGTAATTTTAACTCATTGGTTTTGTCTCATATTTGAGGAATGTACTATGTATCATGAGTAGAGGCTTCGTTTAAAAGGATGCGAACGATTTAAATTTCAATAGGTAGACAAAATTGATAATTTTTAATTATCAAAAATTTAAGCTTTCTCTAGTATAGCCCGACCAGGAACATAAAAACCCTCGCCATGTTGCGGAAAACTAATGGTACTAATTTCTTTTAATGGCAACAGTAACTGAAAACTTTATTGACATGTCACCTTGCATGTCAGTCTATTGCTGTCAAAGTGTAAACAAACTTTATTTTAAATGTTCGCAATTGATTTTGTAAATTAAATTGCTAAAATCTTTTTATAGTCGTGAAAGAAAAGTGGTTCACAATGTGTTAAGTAGGTATTTGTCGAAGAGAAATACTAAGGGTTCGGACAATATTTTCATTGAATAATGTTTCCGACAAAGGTTGTCAAATTGACTGACATGTTTATCGTATAGTACAGTCCACTATGAATATTAGCTGTGGTTTGTTTCAACTACAAAGTTTAATTTTTTTTGTCACTTTCTAAGTGTTGATTTTATGGAATTGGGAAAGAAGTACCGAGTTTGAAGCGTTCATGAGCAGACATTGCAGTTGAATAATCAAGTTCTGAATTTGATTATTGATGAATAATAAAATAAATCCTACTAGCTCGATTGATGGTTTCATTTAATTTATTTAAACCAGGTCACCTATAATAATATTTTTTCGTTAATTTATGAAAATATCAAATTAGCCCGTAATCCTGAATCCTGATACATAAAGTTAGCCTAATAATTTAACACAGGTACGACTGTACTCAGTGTTGCACTATCAAATGCAATTAACGCGCCTCTATGCCAGGGTTTTTATGTTCCTGGTCAGGCTATAACACTGATATTATTATACTGTGACTCATCAAAGTCATCATTGTCAAAAATATTGACAAATCGCGAACTGTCACGGCCAAAAAACTGACACGCGTCCGTCCTCCGTAAGCGCCACCGCGCGACTGATTGAGATTGTCCAAGCCGTTATGGACGATTTTTTCCACATTTTTTAACATAGTAACTAAATAAGACGCAATATAAAAATTTCATCCGTTAAAAGCCCTCAAGTTATTTCTGAACTTTAGTTTAGTAAAAGATTTAGAATCTCAAATCGCTTATTTTAAAAATAAAACCATAAATAGAAAACGAATAGAGGTAACTTTGGGAATATATTCTATCGAGTCAACTTCATCAAATCGTGTTTCCATCCGTTAATAGCCCTAGAAAATATCCTCAACTATGCCCAATAAAAATCTTAGCCTTTAATTTTACTGTTTAGTACCTCAAAAATGAAAAATGAAAACCTCATTTTCGCCATTTTCTCTGCTACCCGGCCTTAATAAAAGAACTTTCGCAAGTCTGCTGCAAGGCTAGTATAAGTGTTTCAGTTATATTATAGATAAATGATATGTGTTAATATAAAATAAAGGATTACTTAAACGATAAAGAGATCTTTGTCTTAAATTTATGCTCCTCCATCTTTCCCCATTGTAATGTTATGAATTTCATTTTGCAATAAAAATACCATAGTTATGACTCGATTGTCGTAATGAACGAACTTTGTAAACCTTGCAGGTTTGTACGGAACCCTCGGTGCGCGAGTCCGACTCGCACTTGGCCGGTTTTTTTTAGTTTTGTCGACTCGCTGCAAAAAAAAGTCAAGTATTTAAATTCGTCACATTTTCTAAACGCGACAAACTTACTGAATGTGACGAATCTTTTGTCAAAGGTTTTATCACGCGGTAACAATTCAACATTTCTGAAATTTAAATAAAACACTAAATTAGGAAGAAAAATATATTTATTTGGAAAATAAACTCCGAAGCAAATACAGAATAAGTATATCACATTAGTTAACACCAATGGAGGACTAGAAAAAATACTTTGATATAATCTAAAGTTGCAAATTACATTTGCAATAAACTAGAAAATTGGCACATTATTTTAATGAGATCAAAAATATTAAATGTCACTACATTATTTTATAATGTATGAAGTTATACATATAGTTGACCCACGCTGAACTGTCCCGCCAAACTCAATGACAGGGGGGCGCTACCATCGTTCAACTATATGGTTTCCAACATGGCAAAAATCTGAACCAGCGATCCGGTATTGACGGTGGCGCCCCACTGTCAATGTCATCGACAGGACAGTCCAGTATTTTGGAACTATAGTTCCAAAATACTGGACTGTCCTGTCGATGACATTGACATCATCATCTATATAGTACATAGTAGGTATGTGACATTCACCACCAAACAACTAAATTGTAACTGGTAGTTTGACATTTCCTATGTCAACTGACTAAATTAAATATCATCATTATTTTGATTTATTACCTTTTAACAATATTTAGGAAATAAGTATTTATAATATTAATATTTTTTACACCAGCAGCAGGAATAAATACGTATGCGATTAGAAATTTTAATTGTTATGAATAGGTAGACGATAATAATATATTAATTGGCACCAGGTTATTGAAAGGAGCCCTCAGAGCAAATTGAAACAGTGAAAAGAAATAATTGATGGCAAAAAAATTCAACACGTCACTCCCAATCGCATTGCCATTCATTCTTTTGACTTGAGTTTCTTAGGCGAGAACAGTCCCTTCCTGCGGAGGCAATAAACCATTTGTATTTTATTGAAAGGTTGGGTCAGAAAACATTTTCCTAAGGTATCTCTTTCAAAGTAACATTTGTCGTCAAAAGACGAACGAAAGAAAGACGACTACGACTACAAAGGTTTTAATTATTACATTTTCCTAAAAACAAGGGAAATGATGTATTAAATATTAATGGGACCTGTCATCTCTAACTCAATATTTTGGCAATATAAGAAATACTACATCTTCCACTTTGGGCTTTTGGCGACAGAAAAAAGTGCACCCTGCACGCACTGAACTGTCTTTTTAGCAATACAAGAAAATGCCCCGGATCCACTATTACTTTAGCGCTCACTTTTGTTTCTTCGGCGAAATCAGTCCCTTGCTGTGCAGGTTGATAATGGAGTCAGCGATGATGCGGGCCGTCTTCCGAAGGTAGCCGCCGCTAGTCAACATAACTATTGGGATGTGGTGCTCTTTGCAAATCTCGAATACAAACTCGTCCCTCTTTATGATGCCCTGGTAACAAGCATACGTATGAAAATTACTCGTGAGAAAGTTAAATGACAAAAATAATAGGAATTAAGACAAGTATATGAAACTGAGAGGTTTAGAGTGTGACGAATCCAAAGACAGAAAAACTAATTTGAACTATTATTAAAAGATTTCCAAAATAAATTCGTACACAAAAATGTACTTACAACTTCACTGATCCTCATAAATCCAAGTGGATCTGAGTCCAGTATGTCAGTCCCTGCATTGTACACTAAAATGTCAGGCTTGAATTCATTCAATGCTGCCTTTAGATTTCTGAAATAGAATACAATTTAGAATACACGACGAAGCTGCGAGAAAAGCTAGTTATATTAAATAGAACCAATAAAAAAACTCCGAGCATAGCACGCTCCATCGCTCTTTGGGTGACCTTGGTTGGCCTCCCACTAGGTGGACCGACGATCTGGTGAAGGTCGCGGGAGGTGCCTGGATGCGAGCGGCGCAGGACCGGTCTTTGTGGAAATCCTTGGGGGAGGCCTTTGTCCAGCAGTGGACGTCTTTCGGCTGAAACGAACGAACAAATAAAAAAACTAACTGTCTAAGTTTAAGCATATACTCCAAATCCTCGACTTTGTTATTCAACTCGACCTTGCGCCGTATGGCCTGCTTGGCTTCCTTGTCTTTGGGGTATATATTCCTGTTGTACATATCCATAATGTACACTTCTGGCACGCCAAGGAAATCGCGTTCGTATCCATTGCCCTGTAAGACAGAATTTCTATTTTCTGTACTTGCATGCAGGGTTGTCAATTTGTCACAGAGTCGACTCGTCACAGAAAATTCGTCACATTTTATTTTTTGTGACAAATTAATGGGCACTTGTTTACATTTATGACGATTTCAATTTCAATGTATTCATCTTAAAAATGGTTAATTAATGTTGTAAAAAATATCTTATTATCCAGTAATAAAGGCTTATATGTACATAATTATTATTATGTATTCATCTTACATGTGTGACAAATTGACAAAAACCCTTGCTTAACCTAAGAAACATACCTCCAATTAAGTATAGGAACAACCTAAAATCTCCTTACTCAAATTAGAACTAATTTGCTGAAATAAATTACCTGATGAGCATCCAAATCCACAATCATAGCGTTCTGTATCAGCCGGTTCATGATGAGGAACTGTATCAACAGAGTGATGTCTGCATATGGACAGAATCCACCACCCTTGTCTCCGCTGCAGTGGTGGAAACCTCCACCCACGTTTATTGACCAACCCCTTTCGAGGGCAAGCTTGCCAGCTAAGATGGAACCTCCAGTTTGCAGTCTGGAATTATTACAATAATAGCTGTCATAGAATCAATATTTTGTCATTTAGTAAATCATTAGGGGAGGCCTATGTTCAGCAGTAGACATGCTATGGCTGAAATGATGATGATAATGAAGTCATTTAGTCTACATTCCAAGAGCATGATAGTGCCTAATTGACCTGATACATTTATGTAGGATTTGGCCTCCACTCCCCACTCTAGATGGGTTGGGAATCACGGTAATCATTTACACCTTATCTTATCAGTGAATATTTTAGACAGTAAAGAATGGACGAATGAAAAAAAGAACATACCTCATTGGCCTAAGATATGCGTATTGAACCAACATATTTGGCAGGCAAGCAACAACAGGCACCTCTGCTATCATAGCTACTTTGGTGCTCCACTGAAAAACCATTCAATCACATTGTTATAATTTTTGTTATTAAAAAAATGGTCAGTGTAGAAAAATGAAAATTATTAAAAAAGAAACAAATATTAGTATTCAACAACTAAAGAAAAAAAATCATTTTTTTTACTTACTTTTAATGATCTCAAATACTTTTTAGTGTGAACTACAAGCAGATCACTCTTTTTAGCTTCATGCGGTTTCACAAGACATTCATCAGTAATTAATTCTGCATTTTTTAGATACTGAAAAACATAACAAATGCACACAATTCTTATCTAAACATAAGATTACTTATTTATCTACTAAAGTATTCACGATATCATTGTAAGTAAATATTTAATGGCTAATCCGGTACGCACTTCAATAATGTTGCGCCATTTCTTCGCATCAAAAAGATGGAACCTTTCCAGCCCTAGAAACGAAACATTATACTTGTCGTCATACACCAGTGGCCACTGGTCATCTCTGATATCCAAATACAAGCTGTTATCACTAAAAACATAGGCGAGAAAATGGAAAAAATATTTAAGTTAGAAAACGATTTTCCGAGTTCAGCGCAACATTGTTAAATATTTCTAAATGTGTTGGAACTAACGTACCTGCCCATAGTATGCAAGTCACTCATTTTAAAACCATTTTAGCACAACATTTTAGAGTAAATAAATAGTTTACCAATTTTGCGGCGACTTGCGTAAATTTTTCGCGCAAAAGTCAAATTGACACTTGAATGACGTTTGAAGTTTTCATAAATATCTCGTGATTGTCACTCGATATTTCATTGTACTGATACCGATGCAGCTACATCTTCTTCTTCTTCTTTTTTGTTCTTGGCAATACTCGTCGAGGCCGACTTGATTTGTGCCATTTTCATGTGAGTGTGGGACGAGTTAAGAAGAGGGACCAAGTGGGATGGGACTTGGGCTTGGGCTTGGGATATTAGGTGCGGTTGAGGTCGTATAAAATACATAAATTTAATATATAAAATATAAGTTTAAAGTTTTATAGAGTGGTGCTTAATGAATTTAACAAGGGAATGTACATATTTTTTATTAATGCAGCTACATTTCTTTGAAACGTTAAAATAACAAATGTGAAAAAAATGTGTTGCCTAGCAACAGAAAGGCATTACATTCCGCGGGAAATGTAAACAAATCCACTTTACTTTGCCTGTCAGCTAAGGTTATTATTTAAGTTGTGCGCCGTAATTATTTTCTTTTTAGTTTGTTTCAGAATAAATAATGGTAATAAGTTGTAATACCTCCTAAATGTGTCTGATAATTTTTATCCTACATAAAATAACATGGAAACTACGACCTTGGATGCCCTACAGACAGAAGTGGATTTTTACAGGGTACCTAAATACTGAAATCTAAATACTGAAAAACGTATTCAAATTATTCTGCCCTCAATAAAACATTGAACCAAAACAATGTTATTTACTATCTCGACTACTAAACTACTCGAAAAAACATACCTACCTACTTGCTAATTTTCCACGTGCAATCATCGTCAAATGTTGATGACTTATTTTATTTTATAATTTTTATCACCTATTTTCCTTAGGAGAATCAAACCGCAGTAGATCTAGAAATCCGCAAAGTGATAGCTGACAATGAAAAACTTTCGCAACAAGTGGAAATGCTGATGAAACAAAAACTGCAAAATGGCACTTCAATGTCAAACCCCAACTCTGATCCTAATTGTCCAGAAACTGAAGAACTGCGTAAACAAATTTCAACCCTTACAAAGGTACCTATTCCAAAACACTTTCGTATACAATGTGGAGAATTAAATAATATCAATTTAGCGTACCTTCCTACCCTACTAGGATATCAACGATCCGGCTCGAAGGACCAAAACACTTGATCCACCCACCTTTATTATTTTATTACAGGAAAGAGATTCTTTGCACGTTCTATGGCAAACATCACAAAAAACTATTGACGCGTTAGACGCAGAATTAAAATTTTACCAAAGTTATGAGGACAATGGGAATCAGGTAAAACACGTTGATGGATATGTTTGTTTCTCTTTCACGCACAAAATGCTTTAAACACATTTTAATTAAATTGCTTAAACGAATTTTGGTGGAATTAAATAGGTAGGTATTTGAATTTCAAACAAACATTGTGACGTTAGATTTAAAAAATATTCATTTCATACAGAATGTAAAAGAAAACATAAGGGATTTACAATTAAAACTTGAAACTGCACTAACTGATTATGTAGAACTGGAAACTAAATATAAAGAACTAAATACTAAGTGCAGTAAATTAGAAAGTGAACTTAAAAATAAAGAAAAAGAAATCAGTGATTATAAAAAGATAAATGATCAACTAGAACAAAAGATAAAAGAAGTATCTGAATCATTAGAAGAATATAAAATTAATTTAGCAGCTGAAAGAAAAAGCAATGAAGATCTTAGAGCACAACTACTTTTATGCCAAAAAGAAAGTGCTGGTAAAATAAGAAGAGAGTTGGAAGCGAAATCTAAAGTAAGTAAAATAAGTTGTAACACAGATTAGGCTATAATTTAATTCATGTCGAAATTTTTGTCAGTTAATAAAAACTTTTTTGAATTTTAGGTGGCCGAAGCACTACAGCTTTACGATCTCGTAACAACACAAAAGAATGAAAGCCACAAAAAAATTAAAGAACTTACAGGTATGAAAACCACTATTAATTGGAATTAAAATACCAAGTTCGCCTTAATTTTAAATGTGTTATTTTTTCAGAAACAATAGCACAACTCAAGAAAACTTTGTCGACCATAAGACACGATATGGAATCAAGTTACAGAAAAGAATTAGATGAAATCAAAGATAATTACAATGAGAAAGTAACAGACATGCTTCATCATATCAGGAATTTGGACACGGAACTTGTAGAGAAAGGCATGTTGCTAAACAAAGCAATGAGGTATAAACATAATTATCATAAAAACCAAATTACTATAACACCTAATTCGAAAACTAATATTCAACATTTACAGGGACAACAAAATCCTACAGCAAGAAAATGAAAACTATTTAAAACAACAAAAAGATAATCTACAATCAGTTGACCCAAAGTTAGCTCTTGCTGAACAACGACTTGAAGCAATGTTTCAGGAATTGGTAAATTAACTTTAGTAAACCTATAGTACCAAAAATAGTCTCTCACCTACTTCTTTTCTTATATTTTTACCTATCACTTACTACCTACTGAAGATCAGTAGTTTACACACTTCTATACAACATTCTCAGGTCTCATCAGAGAGAAGAAATATCCAACTTGTCTGTGAGAAGCAATGCCTGGCCATAGACATACAGAGAATACAGGATATTCACGCCAGAGAAATAAAACGAAGAAATTGGGAAGAAAATCTGATGAAAACACAGAATGAAGAAATGAAGTATTCATTTTTTTACTTAGTACTTTAGTTTTTTTATTTAGAAATTATTTTTTTAATTGATTTCTGTTCTTTTAGATTACAAATAGAACATCTTCAGAAATCATTAGATGAAACTCACAATATGATAAATAAATTACAAGCCATGCTTGCATCAAGATCTGAATTAAATCAAAAGTAAGTAGATACCTGCCTGCTTGTAGCCACAGAAAATGACAAAACAAAACAGAAACTAACCACGAAATTGCTTATTTTCCAGGATGGTGTCATCAAAAGAAGAAGAATTAATAGAACTAAACAAACATTTAGAAAATCAGATGGAACTTAACAAAAAGTACCTACCTTGAACCTACCTTTACCTTTTGAACAATTAATTTCCCTTTTTCCACGTTTAAATATTGTGTTTTTATTACAGATGGAAGGAGTCTTATGTGGAAATGACTGAAAAACTCAAGAAAAGATTAGTAGATCTGCAAGAAGAAAATAAAGAAATAAGGAAAAAGCTCAAACTTCCTTCTGAAGAATCATCTGACCATGAGAACAGTAATGGCACCAGCTAATCAAAATCGTTACTATCATAAAAGTATTAAATGTGCAATAATAGCAGTAGTAAAAAGTAAAAGCATTTTTATTTATTAACATTATTTACATATAAAATTATGACCCCAAATAAAATGGGAATGGGCCAGGCAAAGTAGTAGTAACATTATAAACATATTAAATTTTATACAGCTTAACAATAACGAATAACATACCATTACTATAAAAACTGCCCATCAATGCAAAAAAATCATTGTTGGATACAGCATCTCTCTCTATAAAAATACAGATTTTTTTTGCTTGCATGAACAATAGGCAGTGATCACAACAATGTATTAAAAAATATTATGCAGAAACACACTCAGCAAACATGCTTGGAAACCAATACAATGTCTCTTTAGTTTCCTGCGTGTCAACCCAGGCTAAGCCTTCCTTGACCATGTGATTCAAAGCATTCTGTGCTCTTGTGTCGTTCCATCTGCAAAGAAAAAAGTATTTTTTATTGCAAGTAATGTAATTTATTTTTGATGTTACATGGATTGATAATTAATTAATTCTTACCCAAGGTCATCAGTTAGAATACTGGCTGACACCCATGCTGTCCCCAATGAACTAGCTTTCTGGAGAACTAAAGTTTGGTCTAGGTTCATTTCACCTGGCACTGACTGAACTAACCATTTTCCTTTGCCAATAGGCACCACAGAGAACCTGTAATGTTATACAACAAATCATCATTTTGAAAGTTTCAGGGTTTTTTTTAAGTAATATTTTATTTCAAGTAATATAGTCTAAAAGATGAATGACAAATTATAATGTGTAATCATACCCATTGCCAAATATCCTAAGTTTTTTAACAGCTGCTAAGAGATCTTCATTAGTTATATCTTGATGTTTCTTTGCTTTGCCCCTGGCTGCTATTAGTCGGGTCCTCAGCTCTTCAAGAGTGATGAGTCCACCATTCTTATAGTTTGTTGCGAGACAAACTTCTACGATTTGCACACCTAACTCATAGTAGAAGTCACCAATACCTGAAAATTTATCACATTTAATTTTTTTTCAAATTCAAATTCAATTTTTTTATTTTATGAACTGGATTTTGCCTGAACTTCAAAGAGATGTCAAGTCAACAGACCTTGATTTATTGTTTTAAGGTACCAAATACTAGACAAAATGAACATTACTTACCTAGTACAGACCAAAACCCTTTTCCCGATGCCAAAGGGTCTACACCGATCGCAGCACACATCTCCTGGAACTGACGCCTGAATTGAGCATTCTTCTTGATTTCACTCTTATGCTTCGTCGCAAACTCTTCCAGGTTTTCCCTAAACACTTCCAATTGTCGCGACATTTGTTGAAACTGGTTCTCTTGTATTTCCGAGCCCTTTTCTCGGTATTTCTCTTGCTCAAGCTTTTGCTTCTGAATAGCACCAACTCCTGCTCGTCGCCTCATGTTGAACGTTTGACTTTGTAAACAAAATTGGATCCAGAATCAGGAAATAAAAAGGAATCCTGAACAAAACTTCGGTTTTGGTTTACTCACACTAACTTTGACGTTTGCTCGCATGACGTTTGAACAGCTGATAGTGAGCAGAAAAAATAATCGCTTTATCCATGTGATTGAGCTATGATTTGAGCTCATTGAGCACTGCATTTAAATAACATTAAAACAAATTCGTGAATCCATATCTGTGTTCGTGAAACTAAGGTATTTCCATAAACAATTAAATTAATAATTGATTGACTGATGATAATCCAAGATGTAATTAAAATTTATAGCGCCATCTATCCAACAGTAGTTCTTTTTTACATACAGTAATAAATCTATTCAACGCTAGATGGCGTGGCTAAGCTTACTCAACGAAGGCAAAAAGAGGTAAATGTTTTTTCGTGCCCATCATTCTACAAAAAAAAACACCTTTTCTGACGAATAAAATGCGATCATGTAATGCAAAAAAACATAACCCTCCTTCTGGCGTAGTCGGGTAATTATCGCAGACGTTTTCTTTTGTGTACATTAAAAAAATTAAGTCAAAATATTATGTGTGAACTGAAAATAACCATTCAACATCGTTTATTTTTAAGAGATCATAAATACCTACAAGTACAACCACAAATTTTATTTAAACACTATTAATCACATACAAATTAATAAGTAAAGACTACAAATATTTTAATTACACTCGTACTCCTAGGACCTACCTATTTTGAATATTCATAAAATAAAATGTTATGATTTTTTATGACCCATTTATTATCTAGTAAGAAAACAAAAAACTTGCAAGTATTTGATATAGACGCCAATGTAATGATCATAAAAAGGAACACTTATTTATAATACTATCATGCTGTCATGCATAACATTGCATAAAAATCGTCTGCGTCTTACAAAACACATCTTATCAATAGGCAAAAACAAAATTACCCAAAAAGGTTTGCAATTGCATCCCTGGTGGGGATCGAACCCACGACCTTTGGATTAGAAGTCCAACGCGCTATCCTCTGCGCCACAGGGACAGATGGAGAGGAGGGCGAAATAGGTGTAAGCTTTATAATAGCTAAAAATTAATATATAAAATGTACAATTTAATCATATTTTTATGAAAAATTATCAACATAGTTCTAAAAAACAATACATTTAAGTAGCCCAGCCCCAACAAGGGTTAAATAAATTGTTAAAGGAAGAAAGGAGTTCTATTGTCGTCATGGGCAACCGGAAACGTCAACAAACATAGAAATGTCAAAAAATTGTTGGGGAAGTTTGAAATTCCAGTGGACTGTGAAATTAATTTTATGTTAAATATGATGTAGGGACATAAAATCTGCGTAAAAACACAAAAAATTGCTGGATAAGTAAGATGGAAGGATGCGCAACAGATGGGAGCCCTCCAGCCACTTGCGAGGATACCCTGAAAGAAAACGACTCGATTGTGAACTTCCAAAAATTTATTTACGAACTTTTTGAGAAAAACGGCATATTGAATGATCTGAGGGCGTATTTGCGGGGTCACATTATTGATGTATTGAAGAGTTCGCAAACCGGTATGTATAAAGTTCATAAATTCAGTGTAACTCATTTTTTCAACTGTTGGGGCTTTACATGATAATTTTTTTGAGTCTCTCATTTTACTGTTTGTTTCGTTAGAATAAAATAGGTATTGATAACATATCCATAAGGTACCTTATCTTTTAAACCTAGCTCTTAACAATAATTATTACTTGCTGATCTGATAATACCTAATCTATTTCAGGTGAACCTCCAACTTGCCAAAAACATTTTACACAACGCTTGGAACTGACATACCAAGCACTTAACATGCTCATAGCCGAGTATTTATTACGTCTAGTAAGTTTCAAAACATTTCATTCAACCAAAACTAAACTACTGGCACTAATTTAAAATAAAAGCATATCAAGTACCTACTTATAATTTTCACATTGCAAGGTAACTGCAAATAGGATAAGATTGTGACAAAACTTTATATGAATTTAAACAGCTGAAATCTTGAGATATAAATATTACATTAATGTGGCTGATGTCCAAAACAATTACCTATGAATGTAATTTTAGCAGTTTGTTTGCTTCCAATGATGCAAATATAAATTACATAATTTATTTGACACTTGCTATTGTCTTATTTATTTATATCTTTTCTGGTAAACATAGCAACAACAGGAGTCACAACAAATTAATACAAATGTTTCAATATTTCAATACCAAGCAATTTATTTAATGAAATTAATTTGTTAAATATAATAAGATAAACTCATGTTGATATACTACATACTATTAATTAATGTTAATAATAGTTGTGATATTTTACAGGAATTCAGCTACAGTCTCTCTGTATTTGTGTCAGAGATTCCGTTGGCAAATATGGTGTTCGGATTTGCAAAAAAACTGATGTTGACCAATACTGGGGACTTTGGAGACCTAAAATTCAAGGACAGTGATGTGTGGTCTATTCTCAATTATTTAGGTAAGTAAACCATTTAAAAAATTATACATTTTCACCCAAACCTACTCATAAGACATGACTGAATTATTTTCTGCTACTATATCAGACTGCAAGAATGCATTCAAGTGTTAATTAATAAAAATACAAAATTCAGAACATACCTGTAGGTATGTTCTGAATAATGTATTATGTTCATGTTTACACATGTGTATGTTGAATATACTTTAATTACTTTCTTTATTGTGTTTAAGACAACATCAATTTATACCTAATTAATGGTTACAGGTGTAAAATGTGACTCCGAACATGCTTCAAGTATTTTAGAAGTTTATAACAGCAAAGAGAATCTGCCATTGCTGCTATGTATTTTGAAATGTATGCCAATGTACAATATTATGCATAAAGAGTCTGCCCCTATAGATCAAGGTATGTACTTAAATTATTATTTCCTAAATAACAAAAGACTTCATAAATGTGAAAAAATAATACAACTATTGGAGAGCTATTGTTGCCTTGTCAGGTATCCATCAACTATGTCCTACTAGCGGTTATGCAGAGAAATCGATTGTTACCAATAGATGGCGCTGAATGCGTATAAGATCGCGGCAACGATTTATGTGCCAGCCGAATATTTTTCTTTTCAATCGACATTTCGATAGATTAATCGTTTTATTATCCTATGAAAGGCATAATTATTTTTTATTGAATGATCAAACGAACTTACCAAGTGAAGTTCGATCTAAATTATCCTGTTTTCGCCGAAGAGATTTATTTTACCATGTAGTACCCCTGTACGACAACCCAATCCGCACACAATATTCAGCGTAGTAGTATTAAAAAACAAAAGAGCGGGCAACCCCACCCCTACCACGCTGTGGGCTCGGTGTCCGAGCGGTCTCATTATATTTAGAGAAGAGATGACATTGACGTTTACCTCCAGGGAAGAAGATATAGAAATCTTCGGGTTGGGAGGGACCTTAAATCTCTTCGGCGAAAACAGGATAATTTAGATCGAACTTCACTTGGTAAGTTCGTTTGATCATTCAAAAAAAATGGCTACTGGTTAACATCGCGCGTTAACTTGGAGCTAAAAATGGGTCAAAGTTACGCGTCGTGTCACAACGCTTATAATAAAAATGTACGAGCACTTGCACAAAATAGTTGTTACAACCAACCTTTTGTTGGGTCTAATTCTCGTCACTACACTGCACAACTTAAAATAATTACGTTTTTTGTCGGTAAAAACGTCCTGGTGACGTCACTTAAGCATTTTTCTTATACTGCGTGCGGTCGTTGCGCGTGCGCACAAAGGAATGAGACCGCTCGGACACCGAGCCCACAGCGTGGTAGGGGTGGGGTTGCCCGCTCTTTTGTTTTTTAATACTACTACGCTGAATATTGTGTGCGGATTGGGTTGTCGTACAGGGGTACTACATGGTAAAATAAATCTCGGAGGCGAAAGCAGGATAATTTACAGTGATATCATCATCAGACAGCCTATCATCAAGCCTGAAGAGCGATATGCCAGATGACTGCAAAATGCAAGCGAAAAGTGCTTCAAAGATCGGCGCACACGAGAAATGCAAGCATTATGTGTTCTGTAAGACTTGCCAGTCTAGAATGCACCGGTTGAAAGAGAAGTATAAGATGAAGAAGAAGAATTTAATTAAGGTATTCGATTAATTTCTTTAATTTTAAATAGGTACTTACATATTTTTATTTTACTCCGTATTTTGAACTTAATTAAGATAATAAGGTTTAAAACGATTGGAAAAAACAGATTAAATAATTGATTTTATCGATGTAGTGTGGTGGTAAGGCATAGTAGGCGCAATGTCCCGGGTTCGATTCTCGGATGTTGACGGGGTAATCCAGTTCTTGACTGAATTTGTGCCGTTATAATTTGAACTTAAAGTAGACGGAATATGGTCTAAAATAAAATTGTTACTACAGCTAGTCTTAGATCTTTAAGAGCTTGTAAGAACCATCGCCTTAGTTAATGGTGGTAGTTTAGTACTAGAGAAATAAAGTGGTCCCTTCTAGTTTTCTACTTGCAGGACATAAAGTCGTGTGAAACGAACCCTCTAAACGTAGAAACGCTCATGAAGAACATCGATGTGATGGAGAAGAGCCTCGTTGATGAGGTTTTCTAATTCTATATTATTTTCATTGTGAAGTATTTTCAATAGCAGTTATAGTTCATTATTTTTATGTAGATAATGGATAGTTTCAATAACTAAAAAAACGTATCTACATACTTATTCATATTTGGTTTGAACTACTACTTAATTAATAGGTATAAAAACATATAAATTAGGTACATAATATTATGTAATAAACGTCTATGACTCCGAATATAAATGCTTTGCTCATGCTCATCTCACTATCATTTGCTTCCAACGAGATTCAAACCCGCACTGAATATCATTGTCGACATTCCACCAGCTCGCACTAAGCGATTCGATAATCCCAACTAATATTATAAATGCGAAAGTAACTCTGTCTGTCTGTCTGTCTGTTACGCTTTCCCGCTTAAACCTCGCAACCGATTTTGATGAAATTTGGCATAGAGATAGTTTGAGTCCCGGGAAAGAACATAGGATAG